CTCCCGTCAATCTATGACCCATAACCTATGAGAACGCAGCGATCAAAAACTAACTATGGGGGCCGGCCCGGTGGCACACTGGATAGTGCGCCGCTTGGGAAGCGCGGCGGCGCTCCCGTCCGAGGGTTCGGATCCCACATACAGACCGGCTCCCGCTCACTGGCTGAGCGAGGTGCGGGAGCAACACCGAGGCTTGCGATCCCGTTGCCGGTCCCCGGTCCGGTACGGGGGCAACACTGAGGGTTGCGATCCGTTGCCAGACATGGAAAAAAGACAAAAAAAAAAAAAAAAAAAGTCTCCAACTATCACTGTGAACCTGAATACAGTTTCCTTTAGCTCTATTCAATTTTGCTTCATGTATTTGGAAGCCTTGTCATTGGGTGCTGTGCACAAAAAAGAAGTTATCAAAGCAGACCTGTTATGGTTAGAAAGGTTACTGGGCTGCCCTCAGCTGGAGTCTGGGACTTAGATTTCGGGAGGGGTCCTACCACCTAACTCATAACAGCAGCTCACTGTGCCTAAACCGCTTATACAGTGGTTTATGCTAAACATCTGCCTCCCCTCTGGGAGTCTGGAATTTTGGTACATGACACACATTTCACACGTGCTGTTACAACTCATTGCTGGGGGAATTAAACGCATCCCCTGTAACTGCTGGGAGAGGACCCTTGGAAGCCCATGCCCACTCGCCCTGAACTTCCCCCCATATGCCTCTTCCCTTTGCTGAGCTTGCTCTGTATCCTTTCGCTGTAACAAATCTTAGCTGTAAGTACAACACATGCTGAGTCTTGTGAGTCACTTAGAGAATCTTAGAAACTGGGAGGTGGTCTTAGGGGCCCCCAACACAGATGCATACACATTTAGTCTTCTTGATTATCACTATCTTTATGAAACACCCCTTTATCTCTGGTAAAACTCTTCACCTTAAAATCTATTTTGTCTGATATTAATATAGCCAAAAAGCTTTCTTATGCTTAGCGTTTACATGATACCTTTTTCTATCTTTTTACTTTTAACCTGTTTATTTCTCTGTTTAAAGTGTACTTTTTTATAAACAAAATATAATTGAGTCTTAAATGATAACTTTCAACTTATGACTCTGGATCAGAAATCCCACTTGCAGGAACTACTCTACAGACAACTGTGAGCATGAAAAATTATGTGAATGAGGCTATTCACTGCAGCAGTGTCTGTAACAGAAAAGACTGGAAAAGTCCACGTGTTCACCAGTAAGGGCCTAGCTAAATAACTGACGGTTCATCCACACAAAGAAATATCAGGTAGTCTTAAGAAAGAACAAGAAAATACTCCATGTAATAACATGAACAATCTATAAGACATACTACTGAGAATTTTTTTTAAAAAGCAAGGTGCAGAGCAGAACATAGTAAGCTACCATTTAAATTTTTAAAAAGGAAAAATACATACAGATGTATCTATTTGTTGTATTTGTTTAGAATTTCTAGAAAGCTGTCCAAAAACAGGTAACACTGCCTGTATCTAGGGGTGGTACACTAGGTGCCTTGGGCACACTGTGGAATAATTCTCTTTTCCTGTGTATCTTTGTCAATTTTGAACTATGTGAATTACCTTTTCAAAAAAAAATAAAATGGGGGAAAAAATAAAATTTCATTTGTAAAGTTTCTAGTAAAGAGAAAACAACTATCAATTTTCTCGTGAGCTCCTGGAGGACAGGGGCAGCTGAAGCCAGTCTCAGTAGGCTGGAATCCCAGCCGACCACCCAGAGCTGGTCACCTTGGGCACCCAATGTCACTGCTCTCAGGTTCTGTTCCTCTTCTGTGGGACAGGGGTAATGATGGTACCAACTTCACAGGGCTGTTGCGAGCATTAAGTGAATTAATACAAGTAGAATGCTAGGAAATAAAGCTATAAAAGTGGTAGCCATCACATCACCTAGCACAGTGGCAAACATGCAGCAGGTGCCTAAAGAGCTTGAAATTGAATGATGTAGGGTATTAGTGATTTAGTAATAGTAAATCATTCACAGACCCAGCACTCCAACAATGCAGAATGTATGCAAATATCATTCTGCAAGCTGCAGAGGAAGGCACCGTCTTGCCAAGCCAAACCCTATAAGAAGCCACATGTTTACACTGGCAGGGCTGAATCCTTCTCATTAATTCCCACAGGCTGCTGGGCCTCAGGAGCACCATCCAATTACGTGGGCATTCTGTGGGCAGCAGCGCAGAACACTAGCCTCTCCAGCAGGTTCCCTGCCAACTGAAGGGCACAGATGGACACAGAGCCATAGGGCTTGGGCCTAGTATGCAAAAGGCCATGGTATATCTGAGCACAAGATTCTGACAAGCCATGGACAGGATACCAGGATGCCCAGAGCTCTGCCCTCCATAGCACTCACTGCCAGGCTAAGAGCAGGCCACACTGAGCCATGCAAAGGCCTCCCGGCTCAGTAATAACCTAGGAAATTGGCTTGCCTGGGTTTTTAAATTGCTCCACTGTGGGCAGAAAGAAACCCTTACCCAGTGTCAAAAGTGCTGACCAAGTCACTGAATCAAATATTCTCTTTGCTGATGGGTCATTTTCTCTCTAAATACTGCCAAGGTCCAAGGAAATGGATATGGTGGTAAGACTCAAGTAAATAAGTGAAAATCAGCATGTTAACTGGAAACCTCATCTCAGCCAAGAGCAGTAACAACGTGCACTTAACAATAAATAGCAAATTTCATTACCTGTTTAATTAGCGGTCCCTCAAGCCACTTCAGGACACACTGAAATGCTGTTGATTCTTTCGAAAGCTGGCGTGCCCTCTGTGGGTGGGGAGGGACAAGTACGTTTTGTGCAAAGATCCTGTGCCAGTCATTCATTCTGCCGTCTGAAGGTCACTTGGGCCTCCAGGATTACCTGCACCTTTGAGTTCAAATGAAGAAAAAAGTTGTAAGGGCCACAGTGCTCAGAGCAATTTTGAAAGTTTCTTGCCTCCCACCAAATCCGAAAGGAACCTCCATCCCCAAAACCCTTACATTGCAACCACAACTTCCAAATCCCAGTGCAGCAGACTGCGTGGCTAGCTAGCACCCATGCTGCCTTCCCCTGGTAAATGTGCCCATCTCACTCTAGAGTATCCCACCCCGACCCCCGCCACAGGACAACCAGAGCGTGTCTATCCAAGCTTTGGTCACTAGTTTAGGGATGGGCACATGGAGGGCTGCTTTGTACAGTCACGTAGGTTGAGCGCCAGGAGCAAGCAGCAGCTGAAATCCAGCCCTAGTGTGGGTCTGTAGTGGAGGGGACCCAGGGAGTGTGAGGGAGGGAAATATAGCCCTTGGAGCAGAGAGATCATCAGCCTGAAGCTACCAGGGGCCAGCCAGGGGGCAGCAACCTCAAGACACACATTGACAAAAAAAGCAGAGAGCAAAGCAGGAACAAGAGCCAGTGGGCCTGGGTGTCACCATTAGAGCCCCAGCTCAAAGGCACCCTAAAGCTGGTCACCCCAGTACAGTTCAGCTGCAGGAACAAAGTCTCTTGTTGCTAAAGCCAGTCTGGGACAGGTTCTGAGTGTTACTGGCTTCTTAGTGACCAGGACCATTACAGATGTTATTTGATCCCCTTCAGCCAGACAGGGATCTGAACCTTCTCCAGACTTCTCTTCAGCTGACACAGAATCTTAAGATCATGGCCTTGATAACAGGCTGAATTCCATACACTAAAACAGCAAGCAAGGAGAAGCAGGTTTGCTCTTCCAAGACAGCAGTCCTCTAAGTGCGGTCCCCAAACCCCTGAGGTTCAACAAGATCCCCTCGGGGCTCCACGAAGTCAAAACCACTTCATAATACCCAGATGTTGTCTTCCTCGCTGTGCTGACGCCTGCGCAGAGGGAGAGAAGGCAACAGTGGGTAAAGCCACTTGGGCCCCCACACGACCCGAGGCATCAGCACCTCACTGTGCTGACCGTCACTGTGTTCTCCACTCACAGTAAAAACATCAGCTTCATTTAGGACATCTTTGTTGAAGCCCTGAAAACTCATTTTATTACATCTCCACCCTTGAGTATTTAATAGTCTGTGATGAAATGGGCATTTCTGGGGCAAGTTCACAGGCAATGGTCACCCCGGGAAAGCCCTGCTGTAACTGTGTGTGGGTCAGGTGTGTCCCCCCAAGTTCATCTACTGGAAACTTGACCCCCATTGTAACAGTGTTAAGAGGGTGGGATATCAGGTCACGGTATCTGAAAGGTGGGCCTTTGAGAGGTGATCCGATTGTGAGGACGGTGCCCTCATGGATGGGTGGATTGATCCACTCATGGAGTAACGGGCTTGGTTCTGATGGCTTTAAAAGGAGAGCGAGTGAGCAGGTCAGCTCTCTCCTTCACAGCCCATGCTCACCATGGGACACAATGGTCACCCTGGGACCCTGTAGAGTCCCACACAAAAGGCCCTCACCGATTGTGCCCCCTGGACTGTGAACTTCTCAGCCTTCGAAACTGTAAGAAATAAATTTCATTTCTTCATAAACTACCCAGTTTCAGGTATTCTGTCATAAGCTACAGAAACAGACTAATACAGACTGGGTGGAGAGCCAGACTTGCTTTTTTCCTTCATCAACATCATTTTTACTAAAAAGAACCATCAAGAGACAAGCTATGGTTATCCAGACTTGGGTACTTGGCAGATATTTACGCAAACATGAATGAAATGAGCCCGTCTCTTCAAGGAAAACTATAATCAAAATGGAGTTTTCAAGCAAAACTAAGATGTAAGAGCATCTGCATCCTCCACGATGAACCTCACGACCTCGCACGTCTTCAAGACTTTCCTGATGAGACGGGCAGCGACATAACAAATGTCCTCTACTAAAACTGGATAATTTAATGTGCCAACATTTGGAAGGTCTACGTAACTCAGCAAACCAGCATTTTCCAAATGAACACTGTATGGTGGTACAAGATCCTGTAAGAGCAGAAGATCAAAGTGCAGCCAGGCCAAAGGACTTCAATGTCACGGAGTACGAACAGCCCACTGATACGGAAGGAGACTCCACATTGGAACAAATCGTGAAGCAACTTCTGCTTGGGAGTTTAGGTGTAGCATCAAAGAATATCCACAATTGTCTAAGAGACAATTATCTGGATGAGGATGATTTCCTTCAAATACTTCAACCAAAACAACCTATCCCAACAGACTGAACACAGAAGCAGACAGGAGGGTCCAGCTGTCTTCTATTAAGCCAGACATTAAAGATATTAGCAAAAATGCAAAACAATTCCACTCTAATTTTTTTGTTTTGGAAAATATAGTTGGTTTTCCTAAAAAATGTTTTTATGCTAACATGAATTAACACTATTTTTAGCACTTCTCAGTTTTAATTTCTAGTACAGTAAACATCAGTAGATATAACTCACATCAACAAAAGTTCCTCAGGATCTTCAGTAGTTTTTTAAAGGGTAAAGGGGTCTGAGGCCAAAAGGTTTGAGAAGGGCTCTTCCACAGGCCAAATCGTCCACACTCACAAATGTGGGAAATGGACAGGACAGGACTGGCTAGCTTCAGACCTCCAGGGCCCTGGCCAGGGTCCTACCCGCACCTGGAATGTACCCACCGCAGGCCAGGCACATCCCGAAGGGGTCCAGAGCCAGCATGCTACCATGTCAATATGGCAATGTTGGTTTCGTCTTTTGTTCTTTGTGGGTTAGCTTTGTCTGCTCAATATCCCTTGTTCTGTGGAAGGACCCTCACCCAATTCCATGTGTGGAGGGAGGGCTGCCCCCCCAATTCCAGCCAGAGGCCTGCAGTGATTGGTTCAAAGAGGAACGATGACCTACACTGAGCCATCAGAGTTCTCCCTGGGAGACTGGAACCCAGGCTCTCTCTCCTCCAACACCCAGAGCCCCAGGGGCCACCCAGCCACCACAGCCCAGGGGAGGCTGATTTTGGACTTTTGGAACCGAACTGGACAAGAATGAATTTGTGTTATGTTAAGCCACCAGTGTGTGGTACTTTGTTACAGCTGCCACAGGAACCCATACAGTTGTCCACGACCTATACACAGAGGAGGTCTGACCGACAGCTCAAAGGCCACCTCCTCCGGTGGGCTTCCTGGGCATTCCCAGGGGTCCAGCCCCTGAGCTCACACAGTCTCTGTGCTTCCCTTGGCCACAGCACTTGTCATCTTTCTCATGCTGACCTGCTCACTGGCCTACTCCTTGGAAAAGAGAGCTTTATTCCTCCTGTGTCCTTGGACCAGCTCACCATCAGAACTCAATAAATATTCATAAATCAAATTGAAGTTTCAGTAACTGACCCTCAAGCTTTTTTGTTTTCCCGTGGACCTTCAGTATAAGCTTGAGAAATGCATGCCATGATGGACACAGACCAGCGTTTCTAGAAAGGAAGTCTCCCTGACGTGGATGCCCTAGAAAGCACCCACTCTGCCCACTCTCCTCACTTGCCCCAGATTCCTGACCCAGGCTCCTTCCTCTTCCTGGGCAACCGCAGGATGCAGTGCCACATCTGGCTTGTAGATGCTGCTGAAGAACATGCGGGAGGCAGTCCACGCTCACAGAGGACTCAGTTACCCTCAACTGTCCCCTTCTGTACAAGCAGCACACACACTGGGGAAAAAGGCATCCCTTCTGAAAGGACCTGCCACCCATATTGAAATAGTGAGGCTGGAAAGTGGAGGCAGGACAGCAACAGTCTGAGGGGGCCATGGAGGGAGAGGCGACACCTGGGACCCTGGGGGTGGGAGTCCAGGCAGCCACAGAACTTCCCTTCCCTGTGCCTCACAGAACGGCCTTCCAGACACTCTCCCACCTGACCCTCCCTCCTCTCCACTGCGACTCTCACCCTTGCATCAGCCTTTAGGCACCAAATCAAATGCCACCTCCTCAGAGTGAGTGCCCCAACCCCACCTCCCGCTGCTCCCCACCCCCCACTAACTCTCTTACAGAAGAGTCACCACTCCACACTAGCGCTACATGTTTACTGACGTCCTGCCAGGCTGTGAGCTCTGCACAGACAGGGCTGGGTCCAAGCAAAAGTCTTTTAATGACTGATTAAAGAGGAATGCCACGGAGGAAGGGCAGAAGAGACCTGGGGGCCAGATGAGCAACAGAAAGAGAAAACTGGGAGAGTTCCATGCTTTGGACCCCAAAAAGGATACAATAGGCTCTTCAGGGAAAAAAAAAAAAAAAAGAGGAAAATGCACGAGCTTTTACTGAGCCCGTTGTGAGCCAGGCAATCACAAACAGCTGCACATTTGTCATTCCAACAACTCTGCAAGGTATCATTATCCCCATCTTAGAGATGAGCAAACTGAGATTCAGAGAAGTTCAACAACCAGTCCAAAGTCATAGAGCTAGTCGTGACTCACCTGAAGCCACTAATAATCCTTCCCATCAAGGAGGCCCGAGAGGGTAACAGAGACAGCACTGGAGGAACTCTGGGTCGGAGATAATCCTCTTTCCTCTCTGCCTTCGAGAAAGACATGTACCCTCCCGCCTGTTTCCAGTCTGTAAAATAAGGGCTGTGAAGTCTCCTTTATCTTTGCTTCCGTAGATCTATTCAACAAATTCCTACCAAGCACCTATTGTGTTCCAGTACGTAGAAGACTGCCAGATGCCCTGTATTCAAGAACCTAAAAGCCCAGTCGGGGGCAAGACAAGAGGGAGAGTGTGAGCAGCACACAGGACACCAGCCTGACCCAGCCTCCTTTTTTGCGGGGCTGGAGGGGGGATCAGGGAGGCTAAAGAGGTAAGCTGGGCTGAAGTCCCACAAACAGTGGTTCCCAGGGAAAGGGAGGGGCAGGAGGTGCTGTCAGGCTCAGGGAAGCCTCCTTCCCAAAAGTAAAGGAGATGTGGGATGCCTGAGACCCAGCCTCCTTGGGGAGCTTTTGGGGGAGTCGGTGAAGGTCGGACTAAGCACTGCCTGGAATTCTCGAGAGTTTGCCACGAATGCTGAGCCCTGGAGAAAGGGTCCTGAACACAGCAGCACAGGAGAGCGAGGCCAGGACAGAACACAGATAACCACCCAAAAAGACACAGGGGTGACCGACAGAAGCCGCACAGATGAGCTGTAAGGGGACCTGGGTTAGGACCGGAGCACCGCCCAAAGTCACCCGAAACTATCCTTTTCCCGACTGCACACGTGCGTGAGGCCGACTTCTTTCCCGGGCTGCGAAAGCGAGCGCACCGGACGGGAGCGCAGGGGACGGGAGCCCGCGGACTCCCACGAGGCCAGACCCTAAGGACAGCGCGGGCGGAGGACAGCCGGGGGCCAAGGGGCTGCACACGGGAAGCGAGGGGCGGGGCGGCCCCGGGGCAGAGTCGCGTGGCC